TTTCACATGTACTGCTCTCAAGCCAGGTGTCACCTATCTTGTATTTGTGCCTCTCATTTTTTTTGCCCAAGTGCAATATTTTACATTTCTCCCTGTTAAAATTCATCTTGTTTGTTTTGGCCCAGTTCTCTAATCTGTCAAGGTTGTTTTGAAGTGTGATCCTGTCCTCTGGGGTGTTAGCCACCCCTCCCAGTTTGGTGTCATCTGCAAATTTGATCAGGATGCCCTTGAGTCCATCAACCAAGTCGTTGATAAAGATGTTGAATAAGACCGGGCCCAAGACAGAACCCTGTGACACCCCACTAGTCACTCTTCTCCAGGATGAAGAGGAACCATTGATGAGCACCCTTTGGATTCAGTCAGTCAGCCAGTTACAAATCCACTGAGTAGTAGCATAGTCAAGACCGCATTTTGGCCTCTAAGCCTGAGATTTCCAGCCAGAGAAACGTAGCCCACACTTTCAAAGACTATGCAGAGAGGCAGCTTATTGTCTTGATACATATCCCCTGCATTTCAGGAGACCTTACTGAGAGCCATCTAATATCCAGGCATAGACACAGCTGTACAGGAAGGAAGGAAGAAGTGACAGAGTAAAAAGGGGAATGAGAACATAATATCCTGTTAACTTCTGATAATATGTGCTATTATAAGACTGCTCACCCTATAACAATGCACAAGGATGGGGCATAACAATTTCAATCCATCCAGCTCAGGGCAGCAACTTTAACTCAACCCAAATACAGACTTGAGAATAGTGGGAGATTCAAGCCCTCTTCAAGTGTTCATAATCAGGCAAAGTGACCACTGGGGTGGGGAATGGGGAACAAGCACATTTGCCACACCTCCTCCTTTTCTAACCGTGGAGGCTCAAACATATTGTTGAAAAGCAGCTTTTATCAGCTTTGATTTATCAATGTGCTAGTAGCCCTATCATTCGCATTTGGGTGACTTGCAGATTAGACTACTACCATAATGTGTTTGAAAGTAACTCAGAAACTTCGGCCAGGTCAGAATGCATGTGTTTTGCTCCTGTTGGAGGGTGCTGGTTGGCTTTCTCATGTATCACCTATTTAAGGCATGTCCGCTGGCCCCTGATATCTCCCCATGTCCAATTCAAAGTGCTGGTTGTGTTGGAATTCCTGGAAGCCAAGACCCAAGTTTGGGGCAAGTACGCTTTGGTGAGAGAACCCCAGCAGAGATTTCACATGGCAAAGCATGCAGCAAAGGAAAGTGTAAAAATATAGGGTGTAAAACCTTTTAAATGTGCCCCTTTGGTGAGTTCCAAAATGCCCCCCGTTCAAAAGCTCTTTCCCATTTCCCTAGCACAAAGATAGACCAGTTAGTAAGTTACAAGATGGTTTATTTACAAAGCTCTTCAAAGGTCAGATTCGTGTACTTTTCCATACAGCAGTCAGAAAAAGTTGCACAAGCAGTAAAATGTTGCTTGTTTACAAAATGGTTCCTCAGCTATTTGTATAGGAAAAACAGTACCTACAGTCTCCATTATTGTCTGGAACAAAAGAGGCCATGCTGCTGGAGGGAGCGGCTCAGAGCTCCTCACACACCAAATTCACATGTAAACTGGGTAGAACCAATGGCTAGGTTGCTCATTTCCTCCCAAGATAAGAGGAAGTGACGTAGGCTATGCCTGGAAAGACAGTTTGTGTCGTTGGCATTAAGGCCATATGGATTAATTAGACTCAAGCATGTTGATTATATGAGGCTTGTATTTCAAGACCAAGTGCCTTGGTTCCCAAATACCTGAGAGAATGCCATCTCCCATATAAAGACCACCACCACTGACAGCATTTTAGATCTTCTGAACTGGTCCAGCTCCATATTCCAATATAGAGAGACTAGGCTACTCTCTACAAAGAACAAGGCCTTCTCTGAGGAAGCCCCAGTGTTCTAGAACTCTCTTCTGAGACATGTTTGCTAACCTTTTTCCTGCTGGTCTATTTGGAAGTGGCTGAATGCAAACATTTTTCAGAAAGCCTTTGAAAAACTCTTCAAAGGTCAGATTCATGTACTTTTCCATACAGCAGTCAGAAAAAGTTGCACAAGCAGTAAAGCATCGCTTGCTTACAAAATGGTTCCTAAACTACCGTATTTTTCGCTCTATAACACGCACCCGACCATAACACGCACTTAGTTTTTAGAGGAGGAAAATCCGTAGGCATGCCACCCGTAGGCATTCCCTCCATAACACGCACAGACATTTCCCCTTACTTTCTAGGAGGAAAAAAGTGAGTGTTATGGTGCAAAAAATACGGTATTTGCTTTAGTGTCATTTTTATTGCTGCCATATGAGATTGTTTATGACTAAAATAAATTTGTTTTATTTGCTAGGCAATTTTTCTTTTACATTGTTTAATTATTTCATGACAAGGGATATATAAGTTTATTTTATATTTTATATTTTTATATTTTATTTATTATTTAGAAGGAGACAAAGCAGGGAGGAAACTTTGCAAATAAATGGGGTTTAGGTGGGTTCTCTCAGGAAACAGAAGTTACTTCTCTGAGCACCTTTCAGGCAGATGCTGTGGAGCCAGACTATTTGTGGTTTAGGAAGTATGTTAACTAAAATATTTCAATGACTTGTATTCATTTGTTAATAAACATTCCCTGTTAGATTATGGAAGGGAATTTTGATATAGTTTAAAATTCAATTTAAGGCAAAATATTGCTGCCTTGTTTGTTTTTTAATTATTGAATCAATGTATACCTAATGCAAAGAAAGCAAGAGGATAACTAGGAGGATGAAAAAATAATGCATTCATCTATATGCAGCATGAATGTTACAGGAGAGTTATGAGTCTCTGTAGGACATAAATGGTCATTTCTGGATAGGGAAAACAGAAAATTGGCCAAACGGTATAGAATTAATCCCATTCCCTCTGCAGCCTTGGGTCATTCATTAGACTAAAGCAGAGCAATTATGCATTCATGAGCAGGAAGCTCAGAGTTTCACTTGGCTAATCAGAAGCTGATAACTGAATGCAAGATCCAGTTACTTTTCAAGGCCTCAGCATAATAATGTAACCAGTAAGCCTTTAAACACGAAAACTTCTAAGTGTTTAATGCTGCTTTTTATATTATTGCATTCAGTAACTACCATCTATATAATATCAAAACATAGCAGGCCAATATAATTGTGTTAAAGGCTACAATACCATAAAAAACATTCTGCACATACAAGTGGGGATCCAATTTCAAATCTACCTTTTATCGTACAAAAGAAAAGAGAGCGCAAAATGTTGGCAATTGTTCCTATCACAATATAGTAACTGAATGGCGTCTATTGCAGTAACCATTTCAGCCGTATATGGAAATTTGAACATTCAGATGTCTGAAAGGAAGCAAGGAGCAGACGGTGGCAGAAATGACTTTAAAGGTATGCATGTTTGAATATGTGCAGAAGTTCTTGGACACAAACGTTCCATTGTAAGGTTTACTAGGGGACCCGATGTAACCTGAACTGAGGAATGAGGTGACTTTGATAAATGCATGACAAATAAAGAACCTCAATCAATGGGCTTATAAAGCAAGAGTCAAATCAACTCTCATGAGAAAGTGCCAGGCCTAGGGGTGAGGGAGAGTATGAAGACTGGGGAAGTCTGTTCAGATTACTAAAATGTACTTCTACACCAGAAGCCTTCCATCTAGGTTCAAAAAACCTAAAATTAGGGCTGGGAGAGTAGGTTCAGTGCAGTATCGTACCCTTGCACTCTTGTTACAGAATGCTGTTCAGCAGTTGCTAAGGCAGTTGGTCAAATTATGTTACAGCTGATCATGCTACTCTTTTTAATTACTGATTTTTAATAGCACGTTCAATTTGTATCATTGCTGGTCACTTTTATGGCCTGCTCACAGTCCAAAGATGGAGAAAATGTAAAACACACAATACATTTAAGGCTACAGAACTACTTTATGCCCCTTTATCTGGGAGCAAGTCCCATTGCAATCTATGCGGGATGTCCAGTGCTAGTCATATGTGATAGATGCAGTGGATGACTTATGGCAGAGATTACCCAGTGGGACTTACCTCTAAGTAGGCATGCATAGGATTGTATTGTAGAACTCCTTGCTTGATTGCTTGGGATATGTCCATGCCAGCAAAAATAAAAATGCTTAAGTGGGGAAATACATTAATGTTGACTGTTCCCACCCACCCCATAGATTATACCCTCAATCTTCCTATCATGATTATTACGGTACTATTTCAGCAGCTTATGGCGCATTCAATGTATTTACAGTTATTTTTTAGCTACACAAACCTAAAAGTGGGGGGAAACAACAGAATTCTATTCACTTCACCATTCTTTTGTCCAAGGAAGGATCACTAAAATGTTGTCTAGAGTTTCCAAATATGAGTTGATAGTGACCTTAAATTGTATTATCTGTTTGCATTGCTGTAGTAAATAAACCTTGACTGCCACTGAAAAGAAGCAGGATCTTTAAAGACAAGCCCTTCAATTTACAGTATATTATTAACTCCATAAAGTCCAGAATATAGTGGGTGCTGCTGTGTTCTCCAGCGCTCTGATTAAACATAGATGTGGGTATTAAAAGTTGGCCCTGCCACTTCCCCTCTAGCTTAATAAAGACATATTGTTCTCTCTGGCATGCTTTGCTGCTTCCTCAATGATTTCATTGTCCTGTGACTAAATTATACTAGCAGTCTTTCTTAGGTTACCTGATTATTATTATTATTAGTTTCCCAAATCAGTGATCAGGTTAGATAGAACCCATTGAGTTTTAATATGGCTAGAAAGACCAAGAAGATGACAAGCAGTACTCTGCTATGCTCCAGATCCCTGGAGCAGTCTCTTTTCCAACTCTTCATGTTTACACTGCATTGATTTTCAGACACTGGACAGGTAACTAAGAAAATTTGATTGACCTATATCCAGTATAACTTAGGATTGCCATATTTCAAAAAGTAAGATACCCCAAGACACCCCAAGAGTTGTTCAGCTTTTTTTTTTTTAGGAAGCCCCCCCAAATTGTTGACTTTTTTTTAGTAAAAGCTACAAGAATTTTTGGGTTTGGGATCTTTTTTGGGCACTTTCAGCACAATTAACTGTTGCTGGTTTTCCAGGACATTTGCCCAATTTCTGAAATATATAAGGGGAAGGGGCTACACATGCAGATATTTGAGTAAGTGCTTATTCTTCCATGTACTTAGACGACTCCAGAGATGCTCTGGGCACCAGGTGTGGTGACTGTCGCATGGAGTCAAGCAGCCTCTAAAAGAAACCCAGCATTTGCTACATTGTCAAAGCACTGGGGTCTTAACCATTTACATCTGATCACCCTAACTTAAATCAGGATTTATTTTTTAAAAAGCATCCTTCCTCTGGAGGAGCAAGCTATAAAGTATCACCAGCATGTATACCATGCAACTGCTTGAATCTAAAATGTATGCATTAAGTGTGCTTCTCCAGAACCATGTCCCTGAGATGAGAAGGCTGCATGCAAGAGTGCAGAAATACCGCAAGTCATGTCTGAAGAAGTGTGCGTGCACACAAAATCTTATACCCAGAACAAACTTAGTTGGTCTCCAAGGCGCTACTGGACTATTTATTTATTTAGTGCAAGTCATGTGTCATACAACCAAGTTTTCTTTATGATTGTGTAGGGGAGCTACCTACATAGACAACCTGACAGTATTCCTGTGCTATTGACAATCCTTGAGAGGGGCAAGGGGAATTCCGGGAGGTGGATTCAGGAATCTAAGCAGCCTTTGTGGAGTTTCTAGCCATTTATGTAAGTGGTCAGAGGTACAGAAGCCCCTAACAGAAAAATGCTAGCGTTAGCAATCTATCAGCCGGCCAATGAGTCATCTTCCATTTGCCTGGCTTTTAATTGATCAGCTGCAACATTACATACTGCAGGGCCTTCATGAGTATACCTTTCAAAACATCCTAAAGAAAATGGGCAGCTTCTCCCATATGCGATGTCACCAACATACAAGAGGGCCAGAAAGAGCTATCGACATTTTCTGCTGGAATGCAAAAAGCCTTCCTTCTTCTGCATCTGTTTGCTCTAACTTAGTTATGGTAAAGTGCTGAAGAAATGATAGAATACACAAATCTTAGATCAGGGGTTTTTTTATTTACAATTTGCCCAATTAAATTTAAAGCATAATCACATAGTCACAAAATCAAAACAGTATACTTGATACAAAAAAGGAAGAAGTGCACATATACCCTACCATAGTATTTTATGGAGTTTACCACATGGTTATTCAACAATGCAAACTGTTAGATTTTGGGTAAACTGTCCAAGTCAAAGGATGCGTTCTCTTTAAAAGCTATGATTCCACAGGAACAGGACAAGACTCTACATGGACATAGTACTGTCAACAAGCCTCTCCATATTTCTGAAAATCCAAGCACTTAGTTCAACCTGCATCTTAGTGCCAGCTTTAGTTCAAATTATTTGTTATCTAGTACACTTACTTGTCTGTAAAAGTGTTATTTGGTTTCAATCATTGAGACATTTTCTAAAATTCTTGATGATTGAAGACTTCATCCCTTCCCACTTTTGTTTGAAAAAGCTACTCTCCATTCTTCTGCCCCATTACATTTCAAGCATAAAATAGAGTAAAATACAAATTGCACCAAATCAAAACGGACATCTGGAAATGACTCTAGAGGCTTTATTTTAGAAGGTGACTACTATGATAATGAAAAATAGCATTTCAAGTTTAGCAGTGGAGATTTGATCCCTTGTTCAGTTTTATTCAAGCGGTTTTTGCCACTGCTTTGCCAAATAACTTGTTTTGCTGGCACATATGGTTCACTTATAGCTTTAGTAAAATGGGAAAAAACCTGAAATACCACAGTAAAAGTAATTTTCCAATATATTTTTAAAACTACACAGGCTTAGTTAGAACAGCCACACATTAACTGAGGCTTAAAATAAGATCTGCCCAACTGAAGCTGGAAATTCCAAAGCAAAATGTTGGATGGAACTCTGTGTCTGCTGGATACATCCTTACATACGAAACTGAGTGAACTGAACCAGCGCCATTTGTATTTTCTAGTGGTTTTCGAAGCTTCATTTTCATTCAAATTAAAGAGTCCTTATTTTGCATATTTTCATGATCTCTCTCCTATGTGTTTCATGGTAGTCATTATCCACGGCCAGTCAAGTTGTACTTCTTTGTCTTGTATTTCCAATTCCAGCTGTTGAAGACTGGAGCCCACCCCACTGCCTTCCAAATCTTGAATGGTCATAGGATTGATTTTCAGGGGAAATGGCTTTGGATCATCAGGTGCTCTTATAAGACTCTCAGTCCAATTGGTACCAGTAACTGAACTGTAGCAATAAACTGCACTGACTTGATGCAGGTATTCTGTGGTTCTTTTTCATGCTGGGATAGGAAGGTCTAGCCATCTCAGATGGTTCAGGGCACTGGGTAGGGAATGGTGGAAGTTTCCCAGCCAGGGTTTCTTAACAAACGTATAGAAGAGAGATTGTGAGAATGAAGAGGCCTGTAGTTGATTGAAGAGAGCTTCCATGTCCCTTGGTGGTGGTATTGTTCAGTGTGCTAAGTGGTGCGGACGTTGGACTTGAATTATTGTTTGCAGCCGATGGAGTTGTTCCATTACCGCCACTCGTCTAAATATGAAGAAAGAAAAGACTGTAAAGCCACAATTAATACCTTTTCCAACTTGCATTTTGCCTTCAAGGGCATATCCGCATGTATTTTCACCTGTCAGTTCAGGAAAGCTACTACCTTTAAATGGGTGCGATGAGAAGAGCGACAACGCCTGTCCAAGAAGATCCATCTCTAATATAATTGTTTGCCTGCTCAGAAGCAAGTCCTGATGTTAGCTTCCTTGGACATTTTGTGCAAATGGTAATACAGATTTATTTATTTTAATGAATAAATTAGAGCCTAAAGCGGACTAACAAGGTACCATGCAACTAGAAGCAAGGCTGACTGAATGAGGAGTCAGCTTTTAAGACTAGGGACAATACTAAGCAATTTTAAGGGCTTGAAAATCACTTTACTTTCTGTGGCACACACAGGTTTCTTTTGTTTTGGTCACTGTTTGTCACACAGCTTTAAAAAAAAGGATCTAGCAAAATCATAAAGACTAGTTTTGCCAATAGTTCAAGTGAGATGAATACACACACGACTACTATCCTATCTCTGAACAGCCATCTTCTTTCTGTCTCTAGCTTTCAAGTCACAAAGAGACAGAAGGAACACACAGAAATAACTGTCTTTCTAGTCAAGTTCCAAGTCTTTCATGTAGTATTTTGCACTGCCTAACTGGTTATTTTTGTGTGAAGGGTTTCAGTGTGGCACTATTTATACTGGAGAGCTATTCCAGAATCAAAGTGTCAGTCTCCAGCAGTTACAAGAGGAGTGTTTTGTATGTCTGAAAGCTGGGAAGATGTATTGAATAGCTTTGGATTGCAAGATACAGGAGGTTTTCCACTATAATAAGCAGTAACAGATTGCTGTTGTAGGCATTACCATTTGAAATGTGCCTCTTAAACCACACTTACTAATACAAGTTCAAGTCAATGTAACTCTGCCAATCTGTTTTGGATATCAGTTACTTTCAAGCAAGCTCCACCAGTGAAGCTCACATCCAAGCAAGCATGTAGATCACAAAGTTTCAAAAGAGATAGCAAGGTGGACTTGCTGTATGGCTGCAATGGAGTCTGTGTAACACAAACTAGCATGGATGCTTTAGCAGAGATTCCTGCATTGCAGGGGGTTGGACCAGATGACCCTTGGGATCCCTTCCAACTCTACAATTCTATGAGGGGGGAAACCAAGGCTGCAGTCCTACAGTCAGGCTGTTTCGTCTTTAAAATTCAATGTGCTTTAAGCAGCTTGCAGCAGAGATCTGTAGCAATGTTAACTTATATGTTGCTTACTGTATAGAATTTTATCATTAGAATGCAACAAGAACGCATGGCATCTGTTAGCATTTGACTTTCATCTCCAGAGGGTCTATGCTGGCAGACAGTCTATGTGGCATAAGTGGAGAGTACTGTACTTAGGAGACCAGCATTCTGCTGCACACCTTCATATCAAACATTGCTTTCAGGAGTTATTTTATGGGAGAAACCTCAAAGAGTTGAGATGCTCAGTATTTGGATGCTGCTGCTGCTGGTTCCTAGTGTTTTCCTAACATAGCAGCACACCTACCTGCAAATTTTGTTTGCTTTCTAAAAGCAGCTTCAAAAAGCAGATCTAGTCTCACAACGGATCTTTTAAAGCTTCTCAAATACAGTTCCAAAAGTTGTTTCTTGGATGGCAGTCAAGCCTTGCCTACTATCTTTGCTGCCTTATACCAGCTAACTCATCTCTCCTGGCCAAAGTTGCTTCAAGCTCTGTTCTATCCCTTCAATTTTTTGTTTGTTTGGGGCAAATGACGGAGCTAGGGAAAAGGGTGACTCATCCTTCTTTCTGTAGCTGGCCGCATGAAGTACTAACTCACTGCAGCTTTTGTCATTTTATAGCCAGCAGCCAACTGTTTCACCTCCAGCAAAACTCTGGAGCAGAATGTGGAACGAAACTAACACTGAAAGCCAACAAACATTCCAAATTCCTTAAGTGGTAAAACTGTGTGCCGCTATCCTTTATTACAGAAACAGCCTGCCCTGAAACACAGGCTGAGTACACACCATATATTTAAAGCACAATCCCTACCCACCAATTCTGGGACTGTAGTTTGTCTTTCACAAAGCTACAATTCTCAGCACCTTTAATAACTACAGTTCCCAGCACTGGCGGGAGAGGGGGTGTGGGGGAAGAGCTGTGCTTTAAATGTATAGTGTGTACACAGCTTTCTTTTATTCTAGCTGTGGCATATTTGACATCTTCTTTTTTTAAAAAAGTCTCCATTTACATCCCTAGGCTCTATTATATCTTAGGTATTTGATTACTAAACAAAGACAGAAGAAAGGTGCCTTTATGGTTCCAAAGCAGTGGCTAGAGGCAGATTACTAAATTGCAAATAGGGATACTAATGGATCTGCAACCTAACACACTTACTAAGGGGAGATTGCACTGAACATAGTAACACTTACTTATGAGTAGACGTGCCTAGGATTACACTGAGAGTATTTTAAACAGCCACTTGTATGTACCTAACTGAAGAAAAGCAGACAGAAGCTAGGTAAATGAAGAGGAGAGAAATCAATACTGGGTGTCTGGAGGAATTTTCCCAGGGAGGGGAAGAGTAAAACACTGAAAAGGTCAGCAGGCTAGCATCTCGCATACGAAACAATAAGAGTCATATTTGTACAGTCTGCCTAATATCCCAGATTCTAAAAACTTACATAAAACAAGAAATCTGGGAATTATGGTTGCCTCCTCCTGTGGAAAACCATCATGCAAAAGACCCATTTTCTTAACTTGCCACAATTTAAGATCTTTCTATATCCATCCTTGGATAATCTAAATGAGGTTCATATTCCAACAAGATGTCCCACCTTCCCCCATTGTCTACACAGTGCAGATTCTACATTAAACAGCTCAACAATGTAGCACTGAGGATTTACCTTGAAAGCTACCCAAGGGAGGGTGTTTTGAACCCTCACTGATATGGGTGGCACCCATTTGTATTTTGCTTGAGGTGTGGCAGAATATTGCAAGCCTAGTGCCCCAAGCCTCCTAACAGGATCTCATATCCAGAAGAATAGGAGGTAATAATAATAATACTTTTATTATTTGTACTCCGCCAATCTGACTTGGTTGCCCCAGCCACTCTAGGTGGCAGAGATAAAAGAGAAAAGTGCCATTTAACACGGATTTCAAAAGAAAACGAGTCAAGTCAATCCACCCTAGTTGGCAAAAGAACAGGTGGTAGGCAATGGCAGAGTTAACATTGTTGGCATCCGTCTGTCTCGAGAGACAACAAGCCTCCCCAAAAAATCGAGATCTGGAAAGGACAGGGAGAAAAGCGTGAATATTTAGGGCTCGACCGCAGCGCCCTGAAACATCGCACAACTTTAGGATCTTTTGTGGGAAGCCAACACTGTAGAATCCGCCCTGGCTTGGGGACGCCACAATTATGCGCGTATTATAGGAGAAGGCAGTGGATTGCTCTAAACTCGGACGGGACCGGGTCCGGGATCCCCAAGGCGACTTTGTCCGGGGGCGAGCTAGTCTTCGGGATGAGACTTCATCCATCCCTTTCACACGTGCACAGCCAAGAGGAATTAATGGAAAACGCAAAGCGTGGGGGGAGGGTCGGGTCGAGAACCCAACAGTAACCTAGAATAGGGATTGGGGCGCGGAGGAAAAACAGAAGGAAAAACAGGATCCCTCGCCCCTTTAGATTAGAGTATGGGGTCATGATGACGATGCCACGCCAAGATCGCTGCCGACGCTCACCTGAGTGGGTAAAAGCAGCGCCAGGAGCAAGAGCCCCAAGCCGAGCCGCGTAGCAAGTGCCGTGCCCATGTCTAATCGCGCTGCAATCCCCCGACTCCCTCCGAAGCTGCTCCTGAGATGCAACGTGGAGGCGCCTGCGGAGGGTTTTTATGCGGGCGCCGAGCTCCAGTCGGGGCGGGGCGAAGCCCCTGTAGACCTCCTCCTCCTCCTTCCCACCCGTCGCGTTGCCTCCTGCCCCACCTCTTGGGGGCTTTTTAAAACCCGGATCGGCTTCGTTCCCGCCCTCTGCCTTGTTGTGAGCCCTTCCACTGATCCCCGCAACTCCGTTTGGCAATTCAAGGGTCTGTCCCCCCCCCCCCCAACGCGGTACAATAGGAAGCAGACGCCTTTCGAAGGCTCGCTTATTTCAAAACAAAAGGTGCCGGGGCTCAGCACGGCTTGGAATTCACGCCGCCGGACCTGTAAACTTTGACCCCTATTTTAGATACACAACGTAGGGGAAAATTCAGTGGTAAAAAACAAACTCTGGATATGCTCAGAGGTCTCCCTCATTTTACGGTGACATCACCTGGTGCACTAGTAAAACTACACAATGAGTGATCAGAACTTAATTCGAGTGATGGCTTTAGAAGCTGAGCCCTTCTCCTTAACCAGAAATAACACTGATAAAGGAAGAGTGTGTTGGTCATAACTCACTACTAAGTTAACTCAATAAACTAATGCATATCTGGATTTAGGGGGGAGGCTTTTGAAGGCCGTCAACACGGCTTCATATGATCCTAAAGCCCCTGCACCTGTTGTTTTAGAAATGCATGACTGAACTGTGTAAATACTCCCTTCTAGGAACTGACAGAGTGGCTGACTGTAGGTGATGCTCTTTCGTTAATACTTTTGATGCATCCGAGAACTGACCTCTAGTCCTGCAAATAAACTCATAGAGATGACAGTTGTTAAAACTGTTGTTGAAAACTGTCGGTGATATTGGTGCCTAAGTGGATTCTTTATATACTCACCACTGTTATGGCACCTGCTAAAATACCCACATAAAGGAGGCCTGTATTTCACTGGGTGTCCCCTGGCCCCAGATCAACAGTAGTAGGTGGCAACACATTACGATGATAATTCCCTTCCATTAGATAATTAGTAAGAGACTTATCATCTCTTTACGGGACTGTATTGTTAATGTTTAATTAATTGCAATAAGTATTCTGTGTGTTTTTACACTTCCTGTATATTGAACTCTGTCTTGAGACAATGCTCAAAAGCCACAGGTGCCATCCTGTGTCAGAGGAAAGTCCCACAGAGATTCAGGGAATTTTCTTCCTAGAGTGTTCAGGTCAAATAGAGGACGAGTTCCTGTACCTTTAACACTGGAGTATGGAAGAGGAAGTTTATGCAGGTGTGGTCAGTTGTGTGGAAGAGGGAATTTTAGTAAGTGCGTAACATGTAGGATTTACTGCTCCTTGGTAAGTACAGTATGTTCAGTACCGCAACCTTAATACAGCATGAGAGGATTTAACATACAATTTCCGCCTCTTTCTTTCTCAACACACAAATATTATTTTTTCAGGCTTCATACTAATACTTTAAATCAACTATTCCCTAGTAGGTGCATCACCATTACAATCTTGGCCATTTTTTGAAAGTCGTGTCAAAATCATCATGTAGTTTGTTCGTTAAAACTCTGGAAAAATAATTGCAACTCAGTGGGAAACAGCCCCAAATCTTGCACTGGACACTTGGTACTGCTCACTCTGGAATATAACTATATTGAAAATCATGCATAATTTGAGACTTTGACAAGGACTAGAACCTCCAGATATGTTTTATACGATTTGGCATTCCTTTATGACATATACAGTAGAACCATTATTTTCAAGACAACCCTTGTCACAAGCCTGGCAAATCTGGAACTATACTTGATGATCTGATAAAGTTGATAGTCTTTACTTGGATTTTGTTATGTTAACTCATGTGCAACTACTCATTCTACGTGCCTATTTTATAGTTTTGTTTTTCACCTTTTAATGTTGGCCTGTTGTTATAATGGTTATCTCTGTTTTATATACATTATAAAATTAAATAATAACAACAAACAAATTTATTTTGGTGTAAGCTTCAACAGACTACAGTACTCCATGAAAGCTTATAATACTTTTCGTCGCCTTTAAGGTGCCGCAAGACCTTTCATTGTTTTTCTTGCAGAGGCTAATATGGCTACTCTTCTGGGACTGATTTTAACTCTTTCATAAACTGAAATGTAAAAAAAAAAAAAAAAAGGTATTGCTGGCTTGTAAGTTTATGAATATTTTTCTAGTTTAAAAATCATTCAAAGAAATTATATAATTTCCAGTTTAAATGATATGGCAATAGTGAGTGATTTTGGAAGCTAATACACAGACCCTTAAGAGCGAGGTAGCAAGAGCTGTTTGATCTGCCAAGGCATTTTTCGGCTAAGCGAATTGCCAGGGAGGAAATCTTGAAGGGATTTTTCCAGGATTGTCTTGTGCCTAATTGCTCCTTGCTGCCAGTTCCTTATGAAAGGAGACTCATCTAGTAAATGGAGGATAAGGTAAGAATGCTTTTGGATTTTTATTTATTTATTGGAATGCGTAATCATTTAAAGGTGATGCCCATTCTGAGGGGAGCAGTGAACATGACAACAATATAGGTACTTTCTCTAGTTAATTTCACTTGTGACCAGTTCTCTAGTAGTGATGTTTCAAGTAGATGCATTTTACCTATGTTCCATAAGTCTGTGGGAGTTAATTATAGAGAAAAAGTGAAAAAGTTCCTTTGACTCAACTGGAGCTATGCGTGTGTGTTTGGGCTGAAGAAAATAGTGGCTTCTACTGAAAACCAGTTAACAGTTAGCCTAGAGGATCTCATCCCATTTCCAAAACGTAAATAAGTAAAGCCCACAATGCCTAGGCATTCTCCTGAATTCAGGCTTGCTTTTCAATTACCAGTGGGGAGCCAGAGCCAGGAACATTTCTAAATAGATAGATAGATATAGATGATAGCACTAGCACTTATTATGTATGCTGTGACTCTACTTGAGGAACATTATTTATGTATTTATTATTCCATTCCTATTCCTTTTCATCCAAGGAGTTCAAGGTGATTCTCCCACTGCCCATTTCATCCTCACAGCAACCCTGTATCTTGGATTAGGCTGAGAGCCATAGACTGGTTCAAGGTCACCCATGTTCTTGGCTGAGTTGGGGTTTGAACCCTGATCTCTCAGGTCTGAGTCCAATGCTGTAGCTGCTTTGGCACACTGAACATTGATTAAGCCATCATCAGCTATGCTTTTTCAAACTCTACGCTTGACTACTACAACACTTTTTACATGGGAATGCCTCTGAAGAGTATTCAGAAACACTGAGAACTTCAAGATGTGTTCTGGCTACCCTTTAGTTTTGGAACCCAAGTCAAAGTGCTGGCTTTGAAAAAGCTATGAAAATTTTAGCCAGAGTAGTTCACAGGCTGAATTTCCATCTCAAGGTTAGCCAGGTGTGCTAGTGTACCCTGCCTGATCACTCTGGTTTTGCTCTGCTCTGGGTACAAGAGGGGAAACAAGCCAGGAAGCTGCAGTTAAGCTGCTCTTCCCCTACATCCAAGCCCAGGGGTCATGGTTTGTGGCTCCCCAACATGCCTGGTTTGCTAGCCAACCTCAAATCACAGCTTGCTGTCAGCTTACTCATTATGGCTTTTTAGGGAGCAACAAATTACAATCCCTGGGAAGCCAGAGCTAATTAGTAGTAGTAGGAATAATCATTAAATTTATTAATCATTTTTTCTTGCTGAGCAAGAAAAGCAGCTTACCTCCCCCCCCAAAAAACCTACAAACATATACTAAAATCAAGGAAAAGAATCTGTTTCCTCTTTCATTTCTCCTACTTGCAACAGGGACGAGTGAAGCCAGAGCAGTCAGGCTTTTTGTACTAACATGCTGCTCATACACAATAAACAATAGGCTAGAAACCTTTACAAATTCTCATGGTCACAGGGAGCTGTATCCCAGGAGTGGGGATTTTTTTCCAGCCCTATGACCACAGGCCAGTGGTGGGTGAGGCCAGAGACAGCGCTAGTCCAAAACATTTTGGCAACAAAAAACCTGTGTCCCCTTCCCCATCAGGGAAGAAAGCATGAATGAAGATCTGCATCAAGAACAAGGAGGGAATAAATATCTGCATTGGGATCTGCTGCCCTTGTGGATCTTGCCATCCGAGGCAGTCATCTCACTTTGGCCAGAGGCAAAAGTGGGAAGAGCAGTGGATGTAAAATGTACCTTTGTACAGAAGGCTAGTTTCTACACATTCACACACACCTCTCTACCCATTTTCCAGGCAAGAATGAGGCATTGTCAAGAGTTCAAGGATTACATTCCAGCCAGGCAACAACACTCAAGGAAGGTGTGAAGCAGAGCAAGTGAGAGGGTGTGGGCTGTTGGGTATAAGCAACTTTGCATGCTTCCAGTCAGTAGAAGGCAGAGTTGAGACTAACAGACAGAGAAAATACACTTTGTTGTTTTCCACCAAACACCTAGGTTCCACTCCTTTCTCCTGTTCCTTTCCTCTTTCCCTTCCCCTAGCAGGAGGCAGTCATGCTTCAGGGTTCAATGTATTGCCATTATCTACCACAGCAGACTTTTTGAATTAGCACAAACAACAATCCATTTGTTCCCAACGGAGGAAGAAGGATTGGGGAAATGTGAATATGCTTCCAAATGTTTCTGTCATATCCTTTTCCTTCAGTGCAGCTGATCAGGCACTGAGAAAGGGGAAGAAGTTTCCCTCTTAAAGGAAATAACTTTATATACTACAATTTCCTGTGCTACAGTGTTCACAATGCAATGGGGAATTTTTATTGCCATAAACACAGATCAGCTGTCTGATAAGTGTTCCTCTGGCAAAAGAAAAGAAAAGACGACCCAAAATCATTTGATAAGTGGTTGTTGGGCCATCATCCTATGTATGCTCACTTGGAAGTAAGTAGATCTGGATTGGGTCCATGTGGCCTTCCTCCCCTGCACTGACGCCTGATCCAAAAACTCTCCCACCCCGTTTGCAGCTCCTTATACAAAAAGAAAATTGCATTGGCAGTGCCAAACACAGGATTTCAGTATAGCATACAGTTTGGTCCTAAGTCTCACTGAGTTCACCAGATGTTAACCA